TATTCAAATGATTATTAAATTGCTAATTATTATTATTACGTGCACTAACATTTTGTTGATATGTTTCCTGCGGGTTGAGATGGTCTTTCCTTCAGTCTTTCCCTGTTTTTCCAGTCTGAGGGCCATATGATTGATCTCCTCATGAAGATTATGATATAGCTGCTCATCCTGAAAGAAAGTCAGACACACAAGGTTTCCTGAGCTCTAATGATCTTACATTTAACCAAGCCACATTTCTTCCAGGTGCTTGGATCGCATTTTTGGCTAATATCCCCAACCCTAAAAGTACAATTGGCTGTTTCAATTGGCTTTAGGGATGCTAGTGAAGCAGTGACACCTGTGAGAAAGTACAATGAATGACGGCCTATATGTGCAATGACGGCCTGCATTGCAAACCAGAAGCACTTGCTAACATACAGGTAAACAATGGTACTAAATTGGACGATAAAACAGATACTCTCAAAAAAGCCAATTGTTTTCCAGTAGCGATAATTGAGGCCTGCTGAGAATTTAGCAGCAATTTCAGTGTTTGCTGTCTAGAATCACCCACCTGTTTCAAATCCAGTATCTTCCTGGTAAGCTGCATCTTGTCAGTGTTTTCCCCAAGGATGTTGGCCAGCGATTGTTCCTGCTCCTGCTGACACATATAAAAGCTTTACAGCCCTGAACTGTTGTAGTCCAGCGATTGTTTTCTTTGAATACAGCTACTGTTGTTCTAAATTAGCCTGGCTACCATGGTGAGATGTAAAACAGACTTGATAACTAACACCTCGGCTTCTTGGATGCAGATGCAAAAGCAGGCCGAAGATTAACGAGTGAAGGAAAACAGTAAGAAAGAATAATATGACCAAAATCCCACAAGGAAACAAATATTTCAATGTGAAAATGTACATGGGTCATTCTATGTTGTGTTGCAAACCAAACATTTTATAAATTGTTTTTCAAAACATACTGTAAATACTAAAATAAATGTCACAAATTCATTCAAAAATTCATATAAAATATCATATATACACACACACACACACACACACACATATATCCACATATAAGGGTTTTATATATATATTTATACACACACACACACACACACACACACACACACATAAGCACTAACAACATTCAACATCACACCTTCAATTTCCAGCTTCAGACTCATCAACCTATCTGACACTCTCTTTACCTCCAGAACATTCTTCACAAACTCCTCCTTCAGGATTACTCCTACTCCATTTCTCTTCCTGTCCACACCATGATAAAACAGTTTAAACCCTGCTCCAATGCTTCTAGCCTTGCTCCCTTTCCACCTGGTCTCCTGGACACACAGAATGTCGACTTTCCTCCTCTGCATCATATCTAATGATGACAATTAAAGTTTGTTAAATCTGTGTATAATTCAGAAACAAATTCTGATATCTTTGGTGTTATGTTCAACTAAAAGTGATATTTACCATGAAAAATATTAAATATTATAAAGTAATTTTTTATCAGTTATTTGTATTTATCATGTATTTTTATCATTTACACGATCAGTAAGCTCTGAAACTTGTGGTAGAATAATAATAAAATATTGATAAATGTAGAATTACATTTAACCCAATTTTTATTTTACACACTCACTCATTAATAGTTAGCAGGTAAATCTCATGAAACCTGTCAAAAACATGTCTAGGCCATATTGAAAAAATTTATATAATTTATTTAAATACTGTATTTTACTGACAAAAACAAACACACATACACATCATGGCTGTTGTACTGCCTTAAAATAAGACTAATTAAAACATTTTTTTTATTGTAATTGCAAATTTGAATGAACAAATTGTACAATTGTAATAAATTGTATTACAAAATGTTTTTACTATATTACATTAATTAGAATCATTTAAAAAAATAAAATAAATGACAAAAAAAGCTCAAAAGTGAAGCATCTGGATGCATTAAAGTATGTACAATAAATACATAAAAATGAAGAGGTCACAATGCAAAAAAAAAAAAAAATCGTAATGTGCCTAAAAATATCCTTATTTTTCTTACATTTCTCTTTAAAATATGAATTGTTATTTATTTCTTTTGTCTGCGGATTGAAAAGTGACCATGACAGGTTTCGTGAGGTTCATCCTAACACAGAATCACCAACATGTCACCATGTTCTCTAGATAACCCTCTAAGATACATTAACATTATCGATTTAGGACAAAACCCAAAACTATAGCTAATTACTATAACTAGGTTTAGTGGTGTGTTTAACCTTCGCTTTGATCCACGCCTCCAGACGGTCCACCTTCTTATTAAACTCCTGGAGAGCCTTAGCCCCGCCCATCACCTTGATTTGATTGGCTGCCGTCTGTTTGAGCGCGTTCCATTGGTCGCGGATCTGAGCCAGATGTTTCTTCACCAGGTCAGACGTCGGGTTAAGCTTGCACATTAATTGCTCTCCCATCTGCACAAACATTCAGCAGCGTTACATGAGCTACAAAAGACCTACGGTCCACTAAAACAACAGCTTAATCACATCAGCACGCTTGAAATCCAGCCAAGTCCTCGTTCTCTGACTAACAGGAGATCCAGTTTTGCAACCCACCAGGGACGTGTGTCAGCAGAGGTTAATTATTTGCAATGTCCTATTTCAAGGGAAAAGGACAAATTTAGCATCTGTGCTAGGAATAAAAAAAGAATGGAACGACGTTTGGACGTCTCACAAAAAGCTTTCTGAGGCTCTGCAGGTCTGGTCAAAGCTGAGCTGTTAAAACTGTGTCTTGACAAGTCGACATTAAAAAGAAATTATGATTGTTACCATAACAATTTGTAAATGTTTTGCCGTTTATTCCCAAAAGGGAGAACTTCTTTTGTTGATTTTGGCCAAGGAACCTGTTGAAACCTGACGATGATTCATCAATCTTTTACTCTCCTGATGAAGATGGTTTGTCCTAACCTGGTTGAGTTGAATGATGGTGTTCTCAAAGTCCTTCAAATCTCTCTGGAGGGTTTGACAAACTTCCTCCCAGTCGGTCAGAGGACATCTGTGGACGTTACTGGCGTCCCTCAGGTCCCGCAGCTTCGCTCTGATCCACGTCTCAGCCTGCGGGACGCGAACATATACCGCTTACTTCAAAATCTAGATCTTTACCTTCCTAGAAATGATTCAAAAATGATTTTCTTATTTAGTATTTTTGTAAACGCACTTGAGAGGCAAAATGTTAAGACTTAAGATATTAAGTCTCGTTTTCTGAAAAATGTATCAAAATTAAGTGAGTTTATGCTTTAAACAAGAAACTCACTGAATGTTGATACATTTTTCAGAAAACAAGTTATTTTCTTTTTCAAGTAAATGTATTTTGATTTAAGAATTTATAGATATTTCTAATGGCAAGACAAAACAAGACAAAAATACATATATATATATATATATTTTATTTATTTTTTTTTTTTTTGCAGTGTGACCAAAATGTTTAGCAGCAAAATGGTTTACAACATTAATCATATGAAAAGTTGATTAAGCATCAAATCAGCATATTGACTGAAGACTGGAGTAATGATGCTGAAAATTCAGCTTTGCATCACAGAAATAAATTACATCTTAAAATATATTAAAATAGAAAACAGCTATATCAAATTGTAATAATTTCACAATATTAGTGTTTTTACTGTTTTTTATCAAATAAAGGCAGCCTTGGTGAACAAAAGATACATCAAAAACATTAAAAAAATCTTACCAACCCCAAATTTTTGAACGCTAGTGCATATACATTTTATATTTTATTTTTGTACAAATTCTAATAGAATAGAATAGAATAGAATAATACACTGCAAAAAAAATTTTTTTTTTTTTTTTAGCATTTTTTTATTGTTTTCTATCACAACTATCTAAACATCCTTGAATCAAGACACATTTACTTGAGAAGCAAAATGACTTAAGATATGAAGTGTTGTGTTTGTTGTTTTGATAGTTTTTCTTAAAACAAGTAAAAACATCTGCCAAAGGGGTAAGAAAAATAATCTTAATTCAAATGTAAAACTAGATTATTTTTCTTATAATGGGTTAAGAATGTTTAGATATTTGTAATGGAAAACAAGACAAAATTACTAAGTAAGAAAATCATTTTTTGCAACGTATAATATAATATAATATAATGTAATGTAATGTAATGCAATGTAATAATTTTTTGCAACGTATAATATAATATAATATAATATAATGTAATGTAATGTAATAATTTTTTGCAACGTATAATATAATATAATATAATATAATGTAATGTAATGTAATAATTTTTTGCAACGTATAATATAATATAATATAATATAATGTAATGTAATGTAATAATTTTTTGCAACGTATAATATAATATAATATAATATAATATAATATCCTTAACTAAAAGAGTAAATATCAATAAATGTAATAAATACTATATAATAAAATGCAACAAAATAGAATAAAATAATTAATTGTTTCAGGACAAAGATTTGAAGTCGGTGGAAGAGAATTTTACTACCTCTAAAGAAACCTGGTCAAAACAAATGGCAATTCTATGCAAAACGACCAATTTCTAAACTATTCAGGTTGGATCACATCACACGGGATGTTAGTTTCATCCTTTCTGGTTTTTTTCTTTGGATTTTATTGTTAATGCTTGAAACATGAACACATGTCGAGACACTTAAGGCCCATTTTATGCTCGCTTAGCTTTCTGAGAGCGCTCTGGAAACACAATATTAAGCAAATAGATTTTAAAAGCAGCACATGTGCGAAGTTACAGTCGCTGTCTATTATTTCACGCCGAGGAAAGTGAAGTTCCTCTGTGACTCCTTGTTTTTGAAGAAAATAGTGATCACTTATGTCTCGACTTACAGAAACATCATCGGGAGATTGCTCACCGTTTCTCAGATGAAGGTTTCTTTTGGCTGGAGCTCACAGTGTGTTGCATAAGGCTTTTGAAAGCACAATTTCTGGCCATGTTTGCACTGCGTGAATAGAAACCAGCTGGCCGAGTCCAGATAGGTCCTGGACATGTTTATTTGGTATGAACACAATATATGACCACTGGCAGTCTTCAAAAAGCCCACCCACATCAGCACAAACCAAAGGATTGTTAAATGAAGCTGTCATTTCTGCAAGACTAAACGCAAAGCCAATAAAACCAACATATCGGGCTAAATATAAGGAGACAGCTTAGGATAATTATTAGTGCTGCTGGCTACAGAAACCATCACTATTGCTATTGGGCATATTAAAATATTAAACTTCGCCTCATAATTCGTCCCAGACAGACAGACATGATTAATTTCTGTGGAGACCATCTGTTATTATTTTTACTTGACAATTGTTTATATATAAAAATATAAAATCAAGTTAATTAATGTGCACTGTAAATGATTTCATCCTCCTTCAGCTTAAAAACATTTTAAAGTATAATCAAATTGGCTGTACAAGTCATTTCAACTCATTTTAAAAAATCTCGTATAATGCCGTGCTAGTTTAGTATTAGAGATACTATTGTGGTTTTTATTTATATTTTGAATCAGTTTCTATTTTTATGTTTTCCATTTTAATTGTAATTTTATTTAAAGTTTTAGTAATTTTGTCATTTTTAATAGCTTTTTTTAATGTCTATATCGTTTTCATTCATTTTTATTTCCCTTTTAGTTATTTTAGTACATCAAGTTAAACTAATGGAAAATATTTCTAATCAGTTTTTATTTTTATATTTTTTTGTTTTCATATTTTGCCTTTTAATTTCCATTTTATTTTAATCTTAGTTTTAGTAATTTTGCTGCATGTTTTGTCATTTTTAATATTTTTTTTTACTTTTTATTAATTTTTACTTCCGTTTTAGCTATATTTGTATATCAAGTTAAACTGATGTCAAATATTTTTCAAATCAGTTTTTATTTTTATATTTTTAGTTTTAATTCTAGTTAAAGTTTTAGTTATTTTGTTGTGTGTTCGTCATTTTAATAGTTTTTCCTTCTTTTTTTTTTTTAAATGTTGAAAATACATATTCTGCCATGACTTATTGATCATATCATTTTTATTGTGGTCTCAGAGGTTCAGTATCAAGCCAAAACTTTCTCACATCAAAAACACGCAGGAGATACACATCACATGTGGACAAGAAAAACAAACCCGCCACGATGCTTGGCAAGATCTCACAGTGCAGATAAAAAATAATATGATATCACTTCTAATAAAAGATCAGCCATTATTTTTAATGGCTTCCCACAGGCTCAAAGATATTTCAATATTCGCGGCCTGTGTAAACAACTCTATCGTCTCATTTCTACCCCACCGTGACGAGAAACCCATGACTTCATACTTTGTTTCTTCCACTTCCCTTTAAAACAATAGTCTGTTTAAAAAAAAACATTCTGTAAATCATACAGAATGTTTTGGTGAAATGATATGGCAATAGATGCCATCAGCAGACCTCCGGCTGAGGTCATGCAGGTTTTCAAACTTCCTTCTTTGAGGAAATTAGCAAAAGGAGAACCTGTACAGTGAAACTGATATCTAACAGGTTATTCAGTTAGGAAATGTTTGATTTAAAGTGAAAACTCTTCCTCATACCTGTGGTTAGTATGTGCCTTGTTGATGAGACACCAGCATTCAAAAGTTTGGGGTCAGTAAGATTTTTTAATGTTTTTGAAAGAAGTCTCTTCTGCTCATCAAGGCTGCATTTATTTCATAAACTCTACAGTAAAAACTGTAAAAAAATTGTGAAACATTATTACAATATAAAATTACTGTTTCTATTTGAATATATTTTAAAATGTAATTTATTCCTGTGATCAAAGCTGAATTTTCAGCATCATTTTTCCAGTCTTCAGTGCCACATGATCTTCAGAAATCATTCTAATATGCCGATTTGCTGCTCAAGAAACATTTCTGATTTTTATTAATGATCAAACCATTTTTACATGATTTTTTGATGTATAGAAAGTTCAAAAGAACAGCATTTATTTGTAACATTATAAATGTCTTTACTGTCAACTTTTGTTCAATTTAATGCATCTTGCCGAATGAATGTATTAAAAAAATTCTAAAAAGTTCTAAACGGTATTGTACTGTATATTTAAGGAAAGACGTAAGCCATATCTAGAGACCAGAATATCATAACATGATGGGGTTCTACCATAACAACCACCTAGCAACACCCTAGCAACAAGAGAACACCTCACGACTCCATAGCAACACCCTGGCAACTGCAGAACACAGTAGCACTGTGCAACTTTTAAACAGGCAAACACATTTCCTTAAAAAAAAAAACAACAACATCTAGTTTCTTTTAATTATAGAAATTATAGAATTAACCCATTTTTATGTGAATCCCTAAAGGGTTTTATAGGGCAATCCTAAACAGCGCTGGAGGATGTGTTGACTTTTTAATTTTCCTTTCTTAAACACAGGCCAATTTCCACATCCTTGACTCTATAATGCTACGCTAACACAGATTCATCAGTGCTATCAGTCAACCGAATCGCCCATAAGAGATGGAGGTTTTGCCCAACACGAATATTCATCCAAAGGTCATTTCCTAAACAAATGGCAGCGCTTCCACAGCCTATTAACATTAATGACGTGCTACGAGTCCTGCCGCTCGTCTGTCATCTAAAACACTGTGCTGCCCACTTCACTTCAGCTCAGTAAATCTCACAGGTTACACGGGCTGCTGACAGTCGGACCGGAGAGCAGCAGCTGCGTCCTGAAGCAAATACCCCCGAAAAATGTCCTTGTATGTCAGAGCGAGCATGGAGATGTGATAACGCGAGCGCTCGAGCGGCTCGGTTTAGTCTCAGAAAGCCAGAGGCGTGAATAGATAGGGCCAAACAATGATCTCATCCCAAAATAATTGCTCCTCTTGTGGCTGTTCCCTTCCCTCCCACTCCCCTGTGCTGCCCGCTCTCCAACTTCAGACAAAAAGAGCGAAAGAAAAGAAACAGAGGGGCTTGAACGGGGTCAGAAGGGCCAGGACGCACTGTTTCCACCTTTATCTCCAATGCATTTTTTTTTTCTCTGTAAACTCCAAGTGTAATTTTCCACATTAGTGATGCAACCATTCAACCGATTCAGTTTAGCTGGAAAAAATCGAAAGTGACCAAACACAGGTCCACCTATCCAAGAGACACCAAGACAATGTCGTTCTAGCGATGCTAGAAATATTAAAACAAAGACTACATTTCAGCTGAGAAGTTGAAGCAAAAATGAATGAATGAACATGTACAGGATCGATTTCACCCCAAATCAAGAAGAATTAATTAGAAATGTTGCATAAAGAAAATGAAGTAAGCTCCCCACCCCCCTTTTTTTCATTTTCCCTCCAATTTTGATTTCTATAAAATGCTAAAAAAAGTAATATATTATTTAAATTGTATTTTTATATTATATAAAATACATATTTTATATTATAAAGTGTTTTTATATTATTAAAAACTATATTTCAATTGTTAGTATAATTTGCACTACTTAATTACAAATTTATGCTGATTTAAAATAATGATTGCAGTATTTGTTATTGTTAAAATAAATTGTCAGAATGTAAAAATATGAATGGGCTTAAAAAAATGTCTTTATGCAAAAATACAATATTTCATATAATTTCCATTCTATTTTCATATCCGTAAAATGCTACAAAAATTATATATCATCTAAATTGTATTTTATTTATATAAAATACAAATTTTATATTATACAAAAGTATTTATTATATAAAAAGTTCCATTTAAATTCTATTTAATATGTTAACTCATGTTAGTATAAGTTGCAGGAAAGCATATTGTGTGTTTTTTTTTGTATAAAATATTCTGCCAAATGCATAGAATGCAAATTAATAACACATAAAATGCTATAATAATAATATATATATATATATATATATATACACACACATACATATGCTCTAAATAAATAAATAGAATATTTGTATTTATTTATTTATTAATTCATGTCTCAAATCCAATAAGCAAAATGTGTGACACTGAGCATGTTGTTGGCATATTGATTTTTTCTTGTTTTTTCTTGAAATGCCTTGCATGCCTTTAATGTAATAAAATCATCTGCCAAATGCATAAAATCCAAATGAATAACAGAAAATGAATTGTTTCGTTTTTTATTCGGTGAACTATTCTTTCAAAGCAATCTGTCTTGATTTTCATCGACAGAGTATAGTGATCATACCTGAGTGATCTCCTTATTGAAGATGGTGTTTTGATGGGTAAAACTCTGGTCACTTTGCACCAATGAGACTTTTGAAGCCAGGCACATGTCTTTGTGCTCGCAGGAGGGACTGTCCACCACGTCCTTTCTCGCTTGGGTTTTGAGTATCTGGGTCTGTGTGGAAAGAAGTATGAAATTATCACTTATTCATGGGGAAAACTGGTAATATATACAAGCTAAAACAATGTGCTGGTGGGCCTGAGAAGCTTGCGTGATGTCATTGTGAGTTTATATTGAGGGTAAGACGCTTACAGAATGGAAGAGCTGCGAAACAAGTCCGGGCAAGAAACAAGGTCATTTCAGATCACTGGAACACAGGACCACAAAACCACAAACTAAATTCCCACAGTGATTATGTCATTGATGACTATGAGTGAGGAAGAGCAGCTCATCGGCATCATTCATTCAACCACAACAACACATTGTATAAGAAAGGAATGAGAAAACACACTGGTAAACTGAAGTACTACTTGTTAACGTGTCTATCAGAATATCATATGTCTGTAATCAGGTCAGAAATTTACACAGGCTTGTGGGGAAAAAGAATGCCATTAAATGAAGACAAATGCCCCATAAATTCAAGATAAGGGAGCAAAAACGCCCCTGCTAGACGCTAGTGGCGGTGTGTAAAACTGTCCAAAACAGAAAACAATATGGTTTACAAAACAGAAAGCCATTGCAAGCTCGTGTCAGACAGTCTTATATGACCAAAAGCCACAGTCAGCACAACCGGTGGCGATAATGGCGGTGAGGACACATTTAAAGCGCTCAAAAAATTTGACAAACTGAATAAAGTCAGGAAACATCTGTGCCGATGTTGGGAAAGGGCGGCCCATTACATCAACACATCATCACAATCATAAATAAAAGATGAGATCACATGTTTGTGTTGCAGAGACATTACACTGCAAAAAAAATCATCATCTGTTTCTTTGTCTTGTTTTCCATTATTAAACATTCTTTTACATGAGATGTTAATGCAACCATTCGACCATTTGTTTATCCTTATTATAATAATAACTATATATATAAGGGTTATATAAAAAATTAAACCATAAAAAATGTTACTTAAAGAATTCAATTCAAGTTTATTTGTATAGCGCATTTCATGATACAAATCGTTGCAATGCAGCTGTACAATATATGTTTCTACAATATATTTAGTAGTAGCTTATCAGTGGTGACTGATAAACATTAACTGAAATAAAAAAAACTTAAAGCAATATTTCTCATTTTCATTTAGTATCTTGATGTCCTAAAATAAATAAAACTACAGCTGAAATAAAAATGAATAATACCTATACAGACACGATAAAATTATAATAAAAATGACAAAAACACACAACAAAGTTAAAAATAAATAAATAAAAACAGAAAATTCAAATATAAAGAAACTGAAAACACAAAAATGTAAAAAATTAAAAATAGTATCGCAATGATACAAAATAACACATATATAAAGAATAAGAGTATATTATATTGTATTCGTTATATTCATATATAATTATAAATAAATTTAAACATTTAAAAAAATAAGTTTTTATTGATATAGTATATTTTCTGTATATATTTTTGCATTTTTGAAAGTATAAAATAAAAATAAATGTTATTAAATTATAAAATAGCTATTGAACTTAAAGTTTTTTATTTATATAATTTATTCAATATTTTTTTAATTAATGTTTAAAAAAGGCCATAAATATGCAAAATTTGTGACATTGAGCATGTTGCTGCCATATTGATTTTTTCTTGTTTTAAGCAAAAAAAAAAAAAAAAACATAACATTTCTATAAACTTTACAGAAAACAAGATTAAATATCTTTTTATCCTGATTCAAAAAGTACTTAGATATTTGTACTAGAAAACAAGTCAAGAATACTAAGTAAGAAAATCATGTTTTGCAGTGCAAACGGGCTGTGAATGATGTTTCATGTTGACGTTAAAATCCAGAAATGGGATAATAATGAAATTAAAAATCATAGATAGTAAGTACAGGTACAGCTAGACAACCAAAGCTTGACTAAACTATAATAAACTAAGGCAATCAGATAAAAACAAGCTCATAAAATCTTAAAAGTCCAAAATATTCTTCACAACCCCATTAAGCAATCTAAAAAAGCATGAATTCAGATAGAACAGACAGTCTGAGCATAAAAAAAAAAAAAAAAAGGTTTATACACTCCACATTTATAAGAAAACCCAATTTGCCAATGTTTGAAGGAAAATGCACCTATTTGAACAAACAATGTTTTCAAAGAAATGTTGCTTCTTAAGTCGTTTTATCCACGATTAGATATTTTTACTGGAAAAAAAGGCAAAAACACTGATAAAGAAAATGATTTTTGCCGTGTGTAAATCTAAAGGAGGTGCTCCATCATTTGGATTGGTGTGTCCTGTCCATGTCCAGTGATTCCGAGTGTCATCCCCATCCTGTACGACCTCATGTTTTCCACAAGGCAGCATTGAGGAAAGATTCCCGATCCGCTCGGCGCCCGATCGCAGATGACTCTAGGCTTGGCCCGCAGGCACTCAGGATGCAACCGGTTTGTTTTGAGTGCTGATTTGCCTTAATGTTGCGAGTAAACATTTATTTCGCAGGCATCGTGCCTCGCAAACAACAGCGCTGTGCGCAGGTGGCCCCAACCGCAGCCACCGTCTCATCAAAGGGCGGTCCGCTTTTTAAGGGCCTCGACTCACATTACCCCAAAACGGCTGTAAAAGTTTCACCGCTGCTTTTTCCTCTGCTAAACCCAACTGAACACTTAAAATAATAAGTCTTTTAGGCTTGGCCTGCTGCGCCACTGACATCACTTCCTAAATTCCAAGAGCCCATTATCTTATATACATCTGGCTATGGCTGAACACAAACCACTCAAGAGGGAATTCACGGTCAACACTAAATTCTGCTTCACACAGTTCTGAGGTCAGTCGTGTGCTCGAGACATTTTTACAGCAGTCGAGGAACAAGAAGTACAAGATCTGCAAACCCATACACCGACAGAGAGATGATGCAGTTATAATACCACTGGCTTACTGCGCAAAAGTCTGCATAGAGCGCAACAGTCGTGCCCTGGAAGTGAAAAACATATTCATTTTGTCTGTAGAGAAATAGATTTTTAACAATAGCATATAAATGTTTGAGCTCTGAGATTGTTTAATACACAAATACCTAGTTATGCACCGCAATGCACATAATTCACAAATGAGAGAAGTCGCTGTTACCATGGAAACAGAAAAAACTCACTCCCATGATGCACTGCGAACCAGGGTTATTATAGTTGACTGAAACCATAAGAAGTTGATTACTTGAAATAAAATAAACATTAACTGAAATAAAATTATATATGAACTAAAAACTAAAATAAAAATTAATTTAAAATTATAGACATATTTTAAAGGTGCTGTATGTAGGATTGACACCGAGTGGTTGAACTAGGTATTGCAGTTCAAATTCAAAATATTGGAGAGGGTTTTTTTTACCCGGCCCCTCCTCCTCAGACTTGACGCACACGCAGGTTGCCAGATTGACGACACCAACAGGAACAAGCGCACTTGACGAAGAAATGAAATTAAATACGCTGTGTTTTTCGCCAACTGGCAACCTGGGTGCCGAAATACAATTGGCTAAACTGGCAGTGGGCGGGTTTCACAAACCAAAACAGAGACTGACATTCCGGCCTGGAACGCACATTTTCAAAGAAGAATAACTGACCGTAGCATTGTTTTTCAGATAAACAAGTATGTTAACTTAGAATGTTTCTTAAATATCTGCAAACATATTATGGTATTTTTATGCTTTAGTACAGTCAAAAACTTACATACAGCACCTTTAAAAAAAACAACTAATAAAGATGACAAAAACACACAACAAAATTAATAAAAACTACAATTAAAAAGAAAATGGAACACACACACAAAAAAAAAAAGTAAAAAACCTATAATAGCACCTCAGTTATTCTAAAATAACACTGGTTCAAATGATAAAATCAAATTAATTTTTGTACATATTAGAATATTTTCAAACATTTTTTTTATTATAATAAAATAAAGTAAATAGTTGTATTATAATAATAATAATTTACCCATAAAATAATTTCACTTTTCCAAATTTCTGACTTCAAATGAGAATTTTTGATGTTGCAATTCATCTCAGAGCTGGTTTGTTTGGTTCATGGCTTTAAAATTAAGTTTTTTTTTTTTAAATACCTAAGATAAAAATTAATAGGAAATAGGCCACTAAAAAGCTTATTACATATTTATATATTATAGTATATTTTATTTCTTGTTTTTCATTGCTTTGGATAAAAGTGTCCGCTAAATGCATAAATGTAAAATCAAAGACTAACTGCGAATCTGAATCATGAAAACATCATATCTTGTGCTGTCAGTCATTTCAGAATATTGTTATAAAGGTTAATCTAGTAAATCTGTGGAGTTACCTGTGGAGGAGTGAATTTCTCTCGGTCACCACCGCACTGCTTTTCACCATCTTTACACAGCAACACCTAAACAATGACATAAACACTGAGCTGTCATGATTCATATCCATTATCTGCGATGGACAATATTGTGTTTTGTTTTTCAAGACTGAAACCGATTATCTGTACTTTTAACACACTAACATACAATAAAAACATAACATGCATAAAGTATATTTTTATTTAATTTATGCATTAATTTAATAATAATAATAATTTTATTAATCATATATTTATATATTAATACACATTTTTGCATTTTTTATTATATTAATATATTAAGAACAAGACTAATACTAAGAAATCCTGAAACTTTTCACTCAAACTGATCTGATCATATGATTTGTAATGAAATAAAAATGAGAAAAATAGAAGCATCTTGACTAGTGGTATCAGACTTTTGGAGCCCACTGTATACCCAGAAGCTTTTCTCCTGCTGACCCATTGACATGAAACAAAACCCGAGTGAACACACACTGAATCCTGAAGGTGGATTTGAACAGAATGGAGCCTTTCAGCTGAAGCTGACATCATTTGAACTTGCGCAGTGATTCCAGGAAGAGCAGCGTTACATAATAAACACATCATCTGAACCACACAGATCCTGAGCACACGACCGCACTCATCTCCTGCCTTTTCCAGCTTGTGTAAGACGCGCCTATCAGCTCATGTGGACTCGGATGAACTAATATTAAAGCTTAGAGAGTGATGACTTCATGGGCCTGGATGAGATCGGCTTCAATAGTATATTTGTTTCTCGCCGTTTCCATGGCATCTCGTTACGTTTTGATTACGGAAGCTTTTGCTAAACAACAGCAAAAACAAGATTCCTCAAAACCAGGGCATGCCATTTTATTTCGGTAACACAATGTTATTGGCCTGAGTAGTTTATGTGAGCATGTTTAACTCCATATATCAATGTTTAAAAGTTTACTGCACTTGCATGACATTTTACAGGCTTTTTTACATTTACTGTAATGTTTTAAAATGTCAAATTTCAATCTTCTGTGGCATACATTTATAAACAGTATAGATGCATAAACATTTATTTTTTTCTTCTAATCACATATCAATTTAAATATCTATATTCAGATTTTTGTTTGTGCCTTTTTTTGTCTTAATATTAAATTAAACCTAATAATAAGCACAGTAAAAATATCAAAAACATTATTTTCATTCATACATTGTTCATTCATTTATTATGTCTATAAAAGCACTTATTTATGAAGCATTTTATGCTCATTTAATCATTAATAATAATAATAATAATAGGTATAACAAGAACAACCTTTCAGGTTTTCAGGATAGCAACAGTTCATTTTTTTTACTTACAAATTACGTAATAAAAAAAGTTCTAGGGATTTAAGTTTAATAACCTTAATACTCTTTGTATGCCTGCATTAAAAAGCAATGATGACATCACATAAAACAACAAAAACGAAAAACTTTTTTCCTTCAACCTTCTAATATAGTTCTGATTATTATCATTTGATGAATAAATATGAATATAAATGTGAATTTTTTTTTCATTTGCATATTTTCATTTACTTTCATTCCGATTCTTTTTTGTGAAGTTCAAATTTTTACCAATTAATTAAAATAAGTGTGTCTTACCTTAAACTGTGAGCTGGGTTTATTCTCACAGCTGACACCCACTATTTTAGGCAGCTGTGTGTTGGAGGTTGTGATGTTGTTATTGTTATTAATATTCTCAGAATTTGCTCTTATTTTCTTCAGCTCCATCCCTGGAGTCAGTCTGTCTTTTGCAGCCTCCATTCGGCTGGAGATGGTGATCTTACGGATGGATCTGGACGCAGCGTTCGGTGGGGAGACTGTGTTTCGGTTCAGGTGGTCGTCGGACATCTCTTCGCGTCGATGCTTCGCCGCGGGTCTGCAGTGTCTGTCGCGGCCGAGATAAAGAGACACCTGTTCGTTCAGGTGCCTCATTGTGCAGTTATCCGAAAACGTCCGGTCTGGAAGAAAGCCATCGGGAAAGTCTGAGCACTTTGGCACGGCTGGCGCCGAGAGTTTGGTCCCGATGGTGAACGGCTGGATTTTCCTCACGATGCTCTCCGACATGGTTCGTTCAGCACTTCTATATCACAAATAAAAAGTCCAAACTGTACTCGTTCCTCCTGAATTTAGTTGTCCACCTTCTTGTGCATGTTGAGAATGCACAGGACGCAGCCCAGGATGGCCTCCTTGGACTCCTGGGAACTGATCCGCTCCCAGACGTGGCGCAGCACGGTGCCGAGGTGCCCAGCAGCCGCCGTCAGGCTTCTGCGAAGGAGCTGCGCGGCAGAGGCTGCTAATCGGCTACTGAGGAGACTGACAACCAGAGAGCGCAGCAAGAGGAAAATGGCTGGCATGCTGCCGGAGAGAGAGAGAGAGAGGGAAGGAGGAGGAGGGGAAGCTTTCCTGAATGAGGGATGAAGTCACCGGCCCAGAGTTTCTGTCAGAGCATGTGCAAAGCACAGGCAGGGGGAGAGGAGGTTGTAAAGTCTGGCTGTCAAAACTTCCTCTCTGACTGAGAACAGAGGAGCCTGGCGATAAGAGCGGGACGGCGGAGACGGCAGGAGACCCCTGGGTGACCCTTTCGGTCAGGGCGAGGCAATGCAACAACGCAAAACAGAAGCGCTTACCTTTTGAACGTAGTGTAAATATTTAAAACTAGCAGATCGGCATGTTTGGGAATCTTCCCTTCAAGCGAAACATTCCAAAAATGAAGATGGTCTTCAGATGTCGTCCAGAAAAGATTCTTGATTTCAATTAAATGCAAAAACATCTGAAGTGTTTATGCTTTCAGCAGCTTCTGATGTACACTGAGAAATCTGGTGTTCTTGTCGCTGTCCGCTCTCAAATGAACCGCTTCAGACTTTCTCCTCACGTCTTTGTTCTGGGCCTCTGGAACAGTTGTTTCGACAGGTTTCGTAAGGGCACAAGCTAATTTAAGCAGAGGAATGCCATGTGTTCTGAACAAATGATGCCTTCAGGACTGACCTCTGACCCCTTGACAAAGTGTGGAGCTGACTGGTCACATTTACACAGCGGGTCTGAACAGCAGAGAAAACAATGTGATGAAGTGAGAAAGATGACGTGACGGGGTGAAAGTCTGTAAGAGAAGAAAGTTGTTTTAGAATATTTTCTACACCTCATACTAATATTAAACTTTGGAGTGTAAGTCATCCAGCACAGTCTTGCTATGGACCTGCAACACCCTAGCAACCTCGTAGCAACATATTAAAAACCACTGTGAAGACATTAGCAACTACTTAGAAATGATTAAAAACCACTCTGAAGACCTCAGCAACTACAGTACATAGAAACTGCCTGGCAACCACCAAGAACACTCTTAAAATGCCCTAGCAACTACTCAAAACACTTTCAATTGCAGTCGCATAGCAACACCCCGGCAACCACTTAGAACACCCTAGCAATGTACTCCAAACCACCCAGAATGCTATCAACCACCTGACAACCTCCTAGAAATGCCCTAAAATTACTCAGAACACCCTAGCAACCACATAGCACCGCACTGGTAACTACCTAGTACACCCTAGCAATGCCCTAAAATTATTCAGAACACCCTAGCAACTGCATAGCAACACCCCAGTAACCACCTAGAATACTATAGCATCAATGTTCTAAAATCATCCATAACACCCTAAGTAACAACTGCATAGTAACACCCAAGCAACCACTTAGAACATCATAGCAATGTCTTTAAATCACCCAGAACATCCTGGAAACCACATAGTAATGGTCTTACAACCATCTGGAATACTCCCACAATTCCATAGAATCCAGCCAGAACACCCAAGCAACAGCATAGCAACCATTTAGAACACCCTAATAATGTCCTAAAATCACCCAGAACACCCTAGCAACTGCATAACAACACCCAAACAACCACATAGAACACCACAGCAATGCCCTAAATTCATCTATAACACCCTAGAAACAGCATAGCAATGACCCAACAACCACCTAGAATACCCCCACCCCCACCCTAAGAACGGCCTAGCTAGTAGCAACCATTTAGAACACCCTCATAGTGCCCTAAAATCATCCCCATCACCACTTAACACCCTTGTAATGCCATAGAAAAAACACTCAGAACATTTCAGCATGGCAATACTCTAGCAACCACCCAGAACAGCCTAGCAACTGCATAGCAACCATTTAGAACACCCTAATAATGTCCTAAAATCACCCAGAACACCCTAGCAACTGCATAACAACACCCAAACAACCACATAGAACACCACAGCAATGCCCTAAATTCATCTATAACACCCTAGAAACAGCATAGCAACTGCATAGCAACCATTTAGAACACCATAGCAACTGCATAGCAACAGCTTTGCAACCACTTAGAACACCCTAGCACCAGCATAGGAAAAACCTAACCCTACCCTGAGCATCACAGCAGTGAGTTTTGCATAAGCAAATCTTCAGAAAATCTTTAGAAAAATTTTAAAAATCTTGTTAGCTCTGCCATTTGAACCGGCCGTACCACATGATGTCAGTTTTTACGAGGAGTCGTAACAAACGCTATAAATCTCTCACTCGCTCAGAGTAAAAGTGAAGAGACCATGATGAAGCGTTCTGAAATGAGAGAAAGCAATATTAATGTCACAACGGAGAAGCAGAAAAAAATTATGGGCACAAATTACAAAATATCTAAGCAAAAATATGTTTTCTTTAGTGGCTGTTCCTCTAAGACAGTGAGACAGAATGGAGATCAAAAAGAGACTTTCAGCGTCTCAAAGAGTTTCAAATGGAAGCTTATTTCAGCCACTGAAAAAAACTAAAAAGGTAATTGTGACTTTTTAACTCACGATTCTGACTTCTTTTCTCAGAATTGATATAAACTCACAACTGTAAGAAAGTAGTCATTTTTCCCTCAGAGTTGGCAACTTGCAACTGCGAGTTTATATCTCACAATTCTGAGAAAAGAAGTCAGAATTCAGAGTTTATATCATGCAACTGCAAGAAAAAAGTCAGAATTGTGAGTTTATATCATGCAATTACGAGAAAAAGTCAGAATTGCAAGGAAAAGTCAATTGCGAGATACATAGAGCCAGAATTCTTAATTTTTAACTCACAATTGTGAGGTTACATCTAACAATTCTGAGAATAAAAGTCAGAATTGCGTATTTATATTCTCAGAATATTTATATACACTCAATTCTGACACTCAAGTTTATATCATGCAATTCTGAGAGAAAAGTCTGAATTGTGAGATAAAAAGTCGCAATTACCTTTTAAAAATTTTTATTCAGTGGCGGAAACGGGCTCCCATAGTTTCAGAATAGATCTCAACAAGTCAAAAGTCACTTATATCCTCATTACTTTACACACCTGACATGTTTGAACAATTTCATTTCTATTTCTCTTTGCATTTTTGGAGAAACCGCTGATGTTTCAATGAAACAACTGAAACTGTTCTCTTAGGGCAATCAAATTTTCATCCAGGTTATTTTAAGCCTCATTAAATACTCAGAAAGGACATTTTAACGTAAGTAGTTTAGCATTTCACCAATATTTCAGGATTAGTTTATCATTTAGCAGATCCGTCAGTCGGCAGCGGGCCATATGCTTGCGCTGGTCCTGGTTATGACACGGTTAATGACTGTTGTAAAAGGCTCTGGTTTCACGATGAAGTCATCCACACACAGCCTTTAATGTGTTGCAGCTTGAACATCAGAGATAATTCTATAAATGAGGAGGGGCCACGAGCCAAACGGGTGGAGTTTAGAAAATGCTGGATCATCATTTCACATGATGTCGCAGCTCAAAAGCTGTGCTAATATTACAGTTCTTAGGTAAGACTGTTAAAAACTGTACTGTAACATGCCAAAACATATTTATCAGCATACGCATAGACAATAAATGACTGGTTCAAGGAACTGTGGAATGAGGTCACTGAAATACAATTCTTAAAATTCTTACAATTAATTTGGCAGAATATGACCTCAAATGTATGGTTTAAATTGATGTAAAAGGCAAAATAAAAACTTTTTGCTCACTTGTGTTGTTACGGTATAATGACAAAAGATCTCGTTCTCATTACTGCAATGCGAAAAAAAATATGATATATTATTTAAGTTGTAAAGTTTTATACAGCATGAGTATTTATTTAATATATGCTGACTTAAAAATATATATTGTGCAAATGTTATTGTATTTCAACAGTGAGAATAAACGAAAACTCTAAAATTAAATTAAAATTCAAAAATACAACTCAAATTACTCAGAAAAATAATTCAAAACAACTCACAAAATAGATAGAAGTTAGGGGAATTAAATATTTTTCTAAAAACGTAAAAATGCAAATAATAATAAGCAACAGCCAAGCAACCACCCAAAATACAAATCCACAAATCCAGAGTGGAAGGTAAAATAAAAGGGAATCCGAGGGCTTGGCACGGCAAAATTAAATCAATGTGCAAATCTGTGAAAAAGGCGGATCGAAATGAAGTTCCGGGAATTGATCCCCAAGATTTTGTAAAAATTGCTAATGTAATCAACACAAAGATAGTCAAGGTGTCCCAATCTCTCCCGCCCCTTATATGTGCAGATTTACCTTCTTACCTCCTATCTCTACCCTTGCCTACTATCTCAGAATGGGATGTGTATAGAAGATTGTCCTCTATTAACTATCACAAATCTCCCGGCCCAGACATGATCCCTCCAAAAATACTGAATGAGTTTGCATGTGAAATCAGCAACTCCATATGTACATCATTAATAGCTCCCTCGCGGAAAGTGTTGTTCCTAGACAATAGGGCCTTTCGCACTGCGGGAACCTTTTCATAGTACCAGAACTAATTGTGGAACTACCCACTTTTTGGCGTTTTCGCACCTCCGAAACTGGGCGCAATTTTAGTACCGGACTGCCTTTTTCGAGAACCAAATTAGAGAGCAGGCACTTGTAGCAAATGTAGCACTGCCAGTTGTCCTCCTTTCCGTTCTTTCAATCGCTTTACGTATATGACGACATTCCATGTCCATTATTGTGAAACCCGTGAGACACAACAAAAATACAGCTCCGATCACAGCGTCCTCCATCCTCCTGTTGTTAACGGT